CCTAGCAAAAATAGTTTTTTTTTTCATCTAGGTGGTGGTAAGAAATTTAATCATTTTGGGTCAAAAGGGTTAATTCATGTTGCCTGGATTAAATAATAAAATTAAAAAATAGATAAAATGACAAAATAGAAATTAAAAAAATTGGGAACATTTTCAACATACATATTAAACAATAATAAGTATGATAAATAAGAAATATTTTTATTAATGATGGATTGGTATGTAAAATGTAAAACCAATTGGAAATAAAAATATTTCTCTATTCTCTCTCATTAATCCTATATTTAAGATATATTTTTCTCATCATTAAATTCCTGTAATCAATTCCACAATATTAATTTTAATAGTATAAAAATAAATATTTTGAAAAGTAATTTGAAAACAAAACCATTTTCTTCCCTCTTGGTGGTGGGTAAGCAATTCAACCATTTGGGGTCAAATGGATTAATAAATAATGTCATAATTAAATAATAAAAATTTAAAATAAATAACTATGAAATGTAAGAAGTAATTTAATGCCAACCTAGAAATCAAACAATTTTTATTTTTAGTGGGTTAGTGGTTTGAGTCAAATGATACCATAGAGAAACAAAATTTAAGTGTGATAAGCAAAAAATATTTTATATAATGTAAATGAAGTATATAATTTAAAGGGAAATTATAGTCAAAGTCTATTGTAAATTTAAAATTAGGTTACAGGTTGGTCCAAAAACCAACAAAACTCTAACAACTAGCCCTACATTTCAAATTATAAAAACCCCCCGCCATGTCATCAAAGGCTTATGTGGATGTTGCCAACATGGGACTCTTAGTTTATGTTGGACACAGCAAAAAAAAAAACCTATACCAAAAATAGGTTTTCAGTTTCTCTCCCACTCCCTCTGTCTCTCGATCTCCCTCCCTTCTCTCTCACTATCACAATCATCTCTCGATCTCCCGCTCCCTCTGTTTCTCCCACTCTCTCAGCTTTGGTCTGTAGCCAAATGAAAATCTCTCTCTCTCTCTCTCTCTCTCTCTCTCTCTCTATCTATCTATCTATCTATTATTCTCCCTTAAACTTTCTCATTCTTCTCCCTCACTCTCCCTCTCGATCAATATCTCCTTCTCCCTAAATCTCTATCGTTCTCCAATTGGTGTAAATTTCATATCCAAGAGTTTCTTACAAATTTTTATCAAATTTGTGTAATAATTTTTGAACTATGCCAAGTTGGTCTCATTTCTTTTATATGATTTGATTAATACCATATAATTAAGTGTGTAAGAAAACAAAAAAAAGAGAGAGGGAGCGGGAGAGAAACTAAGGGAGAATGAAAGACATTAAAGGAGAATGAGAGATCAACCGAGAATGAGAATGAGAGAGATTCAGGGAGAATGATAGGTAGAGAGAAAATGAGAGAAATTAATATAGAAAACATAAATATAAAAACCAAAAACTATTTTTATTTATTTTCAAATCACATAGTCGTTTAGCAAATAAAGATGACTGTAAAGTAGAGTGTGAGGGGGGAGAGAGAAATTAAAAACCTTTTTTTTTTATTTTCCATTACCCAACATTAAAGGGCAATTTTAGTATAAGATTTTTGTTATGTCCAACATGGATTAAGAGTCCCATGTTGACAACAGCCATATAAGCCTCCGATGACATGGCGAGGGTTTTTATAATTTAAAATGAAGAGCCGGTTGTCAGAGTTTTGTTGGTTTATAGACCAACTTGTAACCTAAATTTAAATGTACAGTCGGTTGTGACTATAATTTCCCTAATTTAAAACTATTCCAAAAGTAAAACTGTTTTCTTATCTAGATGGTGGGCCAATGATTCAACTTTTCAAAGAAACCCATGATGTCATTAATTGAATAATAAATATTTAAGTTTATTTTTAATCATATTGTTACTTTTGTAAATTTTCAATTTCTATCTTAACTATAATATATCTAAAATTCAACGCATGTGCTTAATTAATATATATATATATATATATATATATTAACGAATGTAGTCCATCCTCCAAATCCATTACCCCCCATCCAAAAATTTGCCGCCACATTGGGATACATGATAGGGTCATTACCAAACCAAATATTTGGGCAAGTTTTTGCTAGCCAATTACAAGTCCAAATAAATTTGGCAGGGTGGAAGAAAGGAGTGCTATGACCTTAACCCAACGTGCTCTCTCAAATGGTCAAACCTACCAATAACTATTCTCTTTACCATGCACCCACAAAGGTCTTGGAACAACTTGAAAAGCTTCATCGTCAATTCCTTTGGGAAGGGCATGAGGAGGAAAAGAAATTACACCTGGTGGTGGGGGATAAAGCTTGTCTCCCAAAACACAAAGGTAGAATTGGGTTGAGACCTTTGTAGGCTATGAAAACTGCTTTCTAGGCAAATGTAGAGGTGTAAATCGGGTTATGTCGCCTGTGGCCTGGCACAAACTTGGACCGGCCCAGCACGGCACAGCATGATGGTCTGTGGGCCGTGTTGGGCCTGGGGTTTTAGGTCCATGGGCCAACATAGCCCAACCTGCGGCCCAGCCCGACATGGCCCATATATATATATATTTATATAATATTATATAATATATTAATAAAATAAATATTTTTTTTTAATTTTATTATACTAACTTATTTAATTATTGTATATATAAGCAATTGTATACACAAAATTCATATAAAATTAAAATTTTAAGTTATTTTGTCAATTTTTTTAAATAAATAGCTTTGGCCTGATCTGACCCAAAGCTCGGCCCGCGGCACAGGCCCACATGGGCCTAGACTGTGGGCCATGCTGGGCGACCCCCAAAATTTTCACTGAGGGTGGCACGGCCCACTTTACACCTCTAGGCAAATGATCTAGCGGTTTGAGGTGGAGAGAGATGCTTTGTGGAGGAAGCTTATCCAATATAAGTATAGGGAGGAGGATCTAGGCTTGCTTACAAACATTGCATCCCAATCCTATGGCACTAGTTGTTATAAAGGCATCATGAAGAATCTGGATCTGTCCTCTTAATTGTGTTCTTTCAAGGTGGGAAAATGGGAAAAATATTAGGTTTTGGAAGGACATTTGGTGTGGCTCTTTACCTTTGGCTTTCTCCTTCCTCCCACATTTTTCAAGTGGGCCCATGTCTAAGAAGAAACATCCAAGATTGGGAAGTTGAAGAATTGAGTTCCTTCTTGTAGTCCAAACCCTGGTGTGCTCGACAAGAAATGGTAGCTATGGAGTTTTAATGATGCTTTTTCGGTGAAGTCTTTCTCTTCTTACAGATCATAACTCAGCTTAAGTTCCCTGGAAATAGATTTGAAAGTCAGATGCTCCATCCAAGGTGGCCTTTTTTTATTGGGCTGCCATCCTGAATAAGATTCAAACAATTGATAGTAGGTGGGAGTCGGTCATCCATCTTATTCTGTGCTGCCCGTTTTCTTTTGCAGTGTAGTCTCACTTCGTCCGGATTTTTGGTAAAGTTTGGGTGTCTCCTGGTGACATTCTTTGCATGTTTTCTGCTTGGCCTGAAACTTGGCCTTTGGCAATCTGCTGGGCAAGGTTCAAAATATCGATACTGCATATCAGACTGTATCGGGACTCACTCCCCTATTTTTTGTTTTAGTTTTCTTTTCTAAACCTGGTTCAGAGCAGTCGATTTAAGGCCTATCTACCCCTTGAACCGGGTCAAATCCCGAAACACCCCTTGTAGGGGCATATCAAGAAGCCCCTGATATGATGCGTATCAGCCGATACAGCCCAATGCATAAGAAATTTTGAACCTTGCTGCTGGGTGTAATGGGGAGAGGGGAACAACCGGATCTTCAGGGGTATTAGTCCTCAACTGGAGATCGTTATAGGCAGAGCTGAAAGACTCCTCTTCAAGTGGGTATCCATTAACAAATAGTTCAGGGAACCATCCTTTGATCACATATGTGATCAGTGGTGGCAAATTGTTCTACCAGCCTCTTCTAATCTGGAGCTTTGAAATATTAGAAGAGATTCCCTCAAAAGGAAAAAATAAAAGAAAAAAAAATCTGACAATAACTAACAAGAGATCTCACCGCCGGTGAGTACCACATTTTTCCATCTTGGCTCAATTGTAGAATACTGTAAAAGAAATAAAGACAGAAGAATTTTGACCAATAGGTCCCAATGAAATAGGAATAGCGTTTTTTGACCAACAAAGAGAACATTATTACATCAAACCATCAACGGTATAAGCATAGTATGAAGTATGAACTCGACTGGGTAGTTGATACGTGATATCCATTTGTTATGCCACATCTGGACAGTGTATTTGGATGGGACACGTACAATTTCATCCAGGTAATATTGATAATTCCAAACACAGATCAAAAAATTTAAAATTCATCTACCTGGTGGGCTTACATCAAGTGATGGATTTAAAATGATATTACTCTATGCATTTGATGAGCTCTGCATGGCAATCACATAGAAGACCATTAGAACGTCTGAACTAATGACAGTAATGGTGAATCATGTAATGAGGGAAATACCAGGAAAAGAATAAGGAAAACAGAAAAAGAATCAAAACATGACTTTTTCTCCTGGTGTGCACCACCAGGAAGTTGAAAAGCCATTTTTGAGAATAAAAATATCATGGCATTCATTGTCTGGAGGGTGGAAAATAGAACTAAGTATCGAAGATGTATATAGGAGAAAGTTACCTGTCAATGAAACTTCTTGCTTTTGACCTGTAATGGCCATGAGGCAAAATCAGGAACAGAAATCTATTTTTTCAAGCTCATATTTTTTGTTTTCCTCATCAAATTATATCCACTATATAACTTATTTATTAGGAACCCAGTATTCTCACCATGGTCTGCAAACTCATGACTGGGAACAACCTATACACCTTGAATGGCTAATTGGAAAAAGTTGCACCGGAGCCTCCAAAATGTTGGTCAATAAACTAATAAGAAAATGAAAAACAGAAAACCTAAAACAGGAAAGATAATAAGGAGAAAGATTTCAGTATACTCGGTGAAGTAGCAGAGTATGTAGATAAATCAAAATTGAGGCCATTTATACTCTCTGCAACCAATCACGGTTTTCCTAGAAAGGCGTCAATATAGAAAGAACGGGAATCATCAACTTCAATCAATTTGCTAAGTGTTATTACCTTTGGAATAATAAATTACAGAACAAATTACATCAACAGAATTGCTTTTGCAATTTCCATGCACTGCATTTATCAATGTTCAGTAATTCTAGTGCTGCTCTAATTGACTACATCCATGTTGAGATGATCCACATTAACCTAATCAGTCAAATCATCATCAAGAAAGTCGAGATCATCATCATCATCAGTGGCAGCGACCATAGTGGCAGGATTAACCTCCATTGGAGTAACTACAAGAGGCAATACTCCCATTTCCACAGCTCCCTTTCTTCCTTCTGCATTTCCATCTTCATTTTCATTTACCTCATTTTCATCTGCTTCAGTTTGCTCCATCTCATTATAAAGAATTTCCTACAACCAAAGATAACCAATGACTTTTATGTTCAATTGTGAAAGGAAAACAAAGAAAGATGAAGAAAGAAATTCTAGAAAGAACCTCATCTTCCTGCAAAGCTTGTTTCTCTGTCTCCACAATCCAGTCATCCAGTAGGCTCTCTAGCAGCACATTGTCTAGGCAGAAAGAATCATCAGACTTCCTTCTTAACTGTCGTTCTCTAAGACGCAAGTTGTAGTGGACATATATAAGATCATTCAATCTTTTTTGACCTAAACGATTGCGTCTCTTGCTATGAATCTGATCATACGTACTCCAGTTATGCTCACATCCAAAAGATGAGCATGTCTGACTTAATATGCGGATGGCTATCCGTTGCAGCTCCAAGCAATTTATACCATGTTGTTGCCACCATGCAGCTAACAAGTAGAAAGCAGTGAACAATGCAAATGATTTATTATTGAAGAACAGGCCATACAGCCAAGTGCAGTCTCACAATTATATACACAAAAAGCACTGATAAATAATTTAGTTGCTTAGTATTAAATATTATCACCTGGATCAAGCTCTGTTCTTGTACTTATGGCTAATTCAGTTCCAAAGTCGGCTTTTGCAGAGACAAAATCAGAAATCTAAAACAATATTATCAGAATATTTTAAACAGTTTTGGCTAAAATAAAGCATAAATTGAAAGTAATAAATATTAAAACATTTAAACAACAAAATTACCTGCATAGATGCAGCAATCCTCCTTCCATTATCCGGTTCAAGTCGAACTATGCATTCGTTCAATCCACGAATTACTTCAGGATGCTACAATTAGGTAGAAAAAACATAGCACACTAAATTCTGAAAAAATAGAAAAAAAAAGTGGAAATTGCAAATCTCAAATCATCATTGTTTCTCATACCGCTAGAAAATCGGGGCGATAGCGGTATGATGGATTAAGGAAGTAAGCTGCAACATATAGAGGATGGTGGAATAATGAATTCCAGTGATTGTCTATCACAGTCCAGAATGATCCATATTTCCTCAGATCATCACCATGAATAGCCTTAATTGCAAGCTTAGCTCTATACATATCGTTATAAATGCATGGCACTGACAGGCTTTTCTCACTATCCACCTTTTGAAGTACTTGCAAAATTGGGTCCACAGATTTTCTCACATACTGCATCTTCTTCCAAAATGTAGAATTCAATACAACTTTTTCCACTTCCATACCTTCATCTAATTTGGAGAACTGGGATGAGAGCCATTTATTTGATTGGAACATTTTTTTGAGCCCAATCCTATGGTCCAACAAGCTTTGTAAAGTAGCAAAACTGGTGGAAAACCTTGTAATAGCTGGCCGTAGAAGTTCCTGCCCCTCTGTGAATTCTTTTTTCATGAGATTTAACAACCATGTTCGGTTGTATATAAATTTTGTGATTTTCTTGCCTTTTTCCATGCACTCTCCAACCCATTTTATCTTCACAAAGTCTTCAAGCATTCGATCAATACAAAAGGCAGCACAAGGTGTCCAGAATAAATTCTTTCTCTTCTCCTCAAGCATCTTTCCAGCAGCCTTATAACTGGCAGTGTTCTCAGTGATTACCTAACATGTAAAATATTGTAAGATTAGGAGAAAGGAAATAACAGCTAATAAGGATGGTAATCTAACAAAGTTTAGGATGACCAGATAATAAGGCTCAGTTTGAAAGGAGTACAAATACAAATATGTAGAGTGCAAAACCTTATATTTCGTATTATTTTGTATGTATTTGCATTTGTACTCTTTCCAAACTGAGCCTAAAGAACAAAAAAAGGGAACAGCTAAGTACCTGTACAACATTTTCCTCACCCATCTCCTCTACCACTTTGTCCAACAATTTAAAGAGGCTTGAAGAATCCTCTACTATGTCTGTTGCATCAACAGAGGAAACAAAGTATACACCACGTGGGCAAGATACCAAAAAGTTTATTAGTGTCCTATCTTGTGCATCTTTCCAACTATCTGCCATGACGGTACAGCCAGTAATTGCCCAAGATACCTTGAATTCCACAAGGTACTCCTTAATGGATGCAATTTCATCCTGGAGAAATCGACCTGATATCAATCGGCTAGAAGGGCCTTTCAGACCTTGGCCATGTTGCGCAACCAAATCCAGCATCTTATGGAAGTATGGGGAGTTGGCTGCATTTAAAGGAATTGCAGCATGATAAAAGAATTTGCAAATCGCAGAAAGCACTTCCTTACGAGTTTTTTTATCAGATGCTGCCTTTGATTTTACTTGCTTGTAGGATGTTGGTGTTTGACTCCTTGGTGTCCTTAGAATGACAGAATCCAATCTTGACCTTTTCAACTGAGGTTCACTACCAGGTGTAGCAGTACTAGGGGACCTTCCCCTAAATCTCTTTCTTATGTCATTACCCAAACTTTTGTCACCAATGACCATCTTTTCTTTGTGTAGAAGATCTTCATCTTGCTCCTCTTCATCATCATTATCTGAATGCATGTAGAAAGCTGCTATCTCTTTAGCATCAGGTCGACGCTGTCTCCTGCCAGTTCGGTGCCATTTCATGTTCTCCTTCATCTTAAGATATACTTCCTCTGGAGCCTTTTTACAATATGCAACCTCGCCAGGGATCCTAGCTAGATGCTGTTTAAACCTGTTTATACCTCCACTAACTATTTTTTCACAATAATTGCATTTTACCTTTTTTTTCCTATCATCTTGAGCAATGCCATGTTCCCAACCAGGGTCCACATATCCCAATGATCGAAGAGGAGCCAGACTTATAACTAAGTTCTTATCACCAGTCACTTGTTTTCCCTTTCTTTTAAAGACAACAGGCCCTTCTTCCTCTTCATAATCATCATTAGAATGAAAATCCAAGGATGCTTGTTCTTCATCTTCAGATTGTCTCTGTTTCTTACTAGATCGACATCCTTCCAGATTTTCTTTCATTTTAAGGTATACTTCCTCTGGAGCCTTTTTACAATATGTAACTTCACCAGAAATTCTAGCTAAATGCTGCTTCAATCTATATATTCCACCACTAACTATTTTTCCACAATAATTGCATTTTACCTTCTTTTTTCTCTCATCTTGGGCAATGCCATGCTCCCAGCCAGGGTCAACAAAACCTGTTGAGCGAACTGGGGCCATCTCTTCAACCATTCAGCGAGTTGCACACTTGCAGCAGCTTCTATCCTTTTCTGGTTTGGCTGCATATTTGGAGAAAGATAACTAAAAAGGATGAGAAGATAAAATATGCACATATGTATTATGTGTATAAAAACATGCAAATTATTTAGGCTTTGTTTGTTTGACCAGAAAAGAAAGGAAAAGACAAAACAATAAAAAATAAAAATAAACTTAAGCATAAAGAAAAATGTTTTCATTGAAGTTTTTGTTAAGTGGTTGTTCACAAAAAATAAAGAAAATGGTTAGAAACATTCCAAGTGTTGTGAGACTACGTGAGTATTAAACAATGATCTCAACATAAGTTCACAGGAATAGGTCAAAGAAAATTAACTTGCAGTAGTTAGTTAATTCACTCAGATGAGTCAAAATGAATCAGGCAGGAATCAATCACGAATCATTTTTAATGGATAACTGAAAATTTTAGTATGACTAAAAAGAAAAAAGAATGAGATACATACAAATGCCTGGCATCCCACACCCTTAATCTAGCAAACAAGCTACCTAACCTAGCCCTCAAATTTCTACAACTTGTTTTACATCTCAAGATCCCATATATGTAGTGTTTTAAAAGCAAAAGGCACAAGGGCCATGTTGCACCTGAGGTGCAAGGTGCAAGGCGAGGTGCACTTTTTTTTGAAAAATCAGAAAAAAAATGAGAAAATTGAAGGATATAATTAAAAAATATATACCTAAACTTCAAATTAAATTAAATGATTAACAAACAACCTATTAATATGTCAAACCACAACAAAAATCTGCAGTAATCAAGAAAAAATATTTCAAGTTCTCAAGTATTCAATAATCAACATTAAGTTCAAGACTTCAAGCAAGCTGCAGGCCATTAATGCAACACAATCACATAGAGTTAGAGTCATGTCATAGGCAATTTTCTTTCAAAAAAAGAGATGTGGACAATCTTCTTTCAAAAAAAGACATATAGATTAGACATAGAGTTATAGACAGTTTTCTACCCAAAAATGAGTCATAGACAATTTTCTACAAAAAAAAAAAAAGAGTCATAGACAATCAGCATCCTCTTCATCTTCACTAGGAAGTTCAACTTCATCTTCTTTGTCATATGACTTGTACTCATCAAAACCCTCTTCCATTTCTTCTTCATTATCAACTTCTTCCTCTTCTTCATCTTCCAATTGAAGCTGTCTTAGTCTTTTTCCACTAGCTTTTGTTGCTCTTACTTGTGAAGTTGAAGCTCTAGATCTTGTATACCTCAGTGTCTCTTCAACTCCAAAAGCACGAGCAACATCTCCCCATGTTAGTTGATCATCATCAAACACCAAATCATTTTTTGCACCATCCTCATCATGTCCTACCTCCCCCATTAACCATTCATTACACTCATCTATATCTTTTAATGAAATGGGGTCATTGGTGCTACGCGTACGTGAGTCAAAACTTTATTTAAGCATCTGGTTGAACTTAACAAATACCAAGTCATTTAATCGCTTCTGATCCAACCGATTTCTTTTCTTAGCATGAATTTGTTAATTCAAAAAATTAAATGTGTAAATTTAAGATAGTTTATCCAAAAAAATGGAAGTATTCTAGTGTAGTAGTTTAGCAATACATGCTCAAACACGCTCCAATTTCACTCACATCCCGATGCACTACATGTCAACCTTAGAACTTTCACTGCAATCTTTTGTAGATTTAGGGTAGAAGCACCAAATATGGTCCACCAATCAGCTAAAAAGTATAAATATTAAATAAATTAGTGATTAAACTAAATAAAAATATTAAGAATATAAAATATTATATTAAATCAATGTTATTATTTACCTGATGCTTTAATCTTCCTCTGGGAAATAGCCATATCAAAACCAAAAGTGCCTTTTGCATTCTTGTACTTGGATATTTCATTAATGATTACACTTCTCTTGTTCTTGTCCTTTTCAAGCATCTCAATTACTTTAAAAATCCCCGTCATAATCTCTTCACCAGACTTAATTCTCTCTTGATCATCATAATAAAATTGTGGGTTCAAAAAGTAACCAACTGCATGGAATGGTTGGTGGAGTTGGCATTCCCACCTCTTATCAATAATTTCAAAAATGTCTCCATATTTTTCTTTCCTTCCACCAAATGCTTCGTCAATGGCCTCCTTTGCCCTGTCCATAGCTCTCATAAATATAACCCATGGAAGGCTTGTTTTCATGATCTACCAACCTTAATACACGAACAAGAGGGCTACACACTTTAAGAGTAAAAATGACATTATTCCAAAATGTGGGCATCATGACTATCTCCCCTACTCTTTTCCCTTTTGCTTATTTTATCCAACTGCTACCATTCCATTCCTTTGAGTTAAACAAATCTCTCAAATTCTTCTTTTGTTTGTATATACTCTACAATGTGAGAAAGTAGCAAAATAGGTATTTGTTGGCCTAATCAATTCTCTCTAATTTGTAAACTTCCTCATTATGTTCAATAAACCTGGATGGTTATAAATATACCCCATAAGTGCAATTGCCTTCTCAATTGTTCTCTTCACAGTAGACAACTTCCCAATATCAAGTCCAAACAATGGGCAGCACACGGTGTCCATGTCAGATGAGAATGCTTTTCCATCAAAAACTTCCCTAATAAAATAAGAAAAAAAATTCAAGAAATAGAAACTTAAGAACTATGACTCTTAAATCAAAAGATAATAACAAAGTATAAAACTCACTGGCTAAGACATAATTTAATGCATTGTCAATAATAACTTGGAGATGACTAGGAGTGGAGAGCACAAATGGAGGCGGAGCCCCTGTTTTTGTGCAAGTTTGTGTACGAAGAAGAAGAAGTGGCTGAGTTTCTGTAATTGCTCAAAAAAATAGGCTGGAGCCCCTGTTTTCTCAGCCACACTGCCGCAGAAATATACATACTTGATATCTGTAGCTCTGTTCGATTCAGGCTTGGACAAACAGGAGCTTGAACTGGATGAGCTTCGGCTTCCTCTGGTTTGGACTTTGGACGAAGAAACTCTTCCCTTCACTTTCAGACTTTCTTTTTTTCTTTTGGTTGCTTTGGCAAAGACCCTGTCGATTCGGTTTCCTTTTCTCCCACGCTTCCTATTTTGTGTTTTTTAATATTTTATGGTATTTTCAAAATTGTTTAAAGACATTATCCAGGCACTCGCTTGGGCCGCCTATTGCCTGGCCTAAGGCAAGCACCTGTCTAATTGTTGTGCGCCTTAGCCTGGGCAAGGCATCTAGGCTGGAAAGTATAAAACTCACCGGCTAAGACTATAGGAAAGTTAAATGAAAAGTGCCTCGCCTCTGTGCCTGAGGCACGCCTTTTAAAACACTGATTATATGACACCCAAAATAACCGTCTTTCTGTAGTCCTGTTCACATCTTAATTAGACAAACCAACTGCGATACAATTGGCTGATCTATGTAAACATAAACAGCTACTAATTTTCACTCTACCCAACTCCTGTATTTCTTTCATGTTGTCATGCTTGCATGTAACCTTGCTTTTGTTTCTTAACTAGTCCATGCCCACTCTGATCCTCTTCTGCAATTACACTACTGAAGTTCAGTGATCTAGCCAGTCTTAATCCTTGGAGTACTGCTGCCAGATCTGCCTTTGTAGAGTTTCCATATCCTATAGGACTCAAGTAAAAGGAAAGTATTGACCTATTACTATCTCTGAAAAGGCCTCCTATTCCAGAGGGTCCCAGATTAACAATGCTGCTGTCGTTAAAGTTTAATTTAATCCATTTGAACTTGGTTCATCCATTGCAAAATTATAGGCCTTGAGGATGAAAAATCTGCAATGGAATTCCATCTTCTAAGTCCTCCATGGAGAAACTGTCAAACAGTCTCAATGCTTTAACCCAATGAATCACCTTAATCATGATACTCTCAATGATTGTATTTCTTCACCAACACTTCCTATTGAATATTCTTTCATTTCTCTCTTCTCAAATGGTATAAATCATTTCTGCCCTAGTACGTCTCCACATAATTTATCCTCTTTTCCTCAGTGGTCTGAAAAAAAAGAGTTCTTGAAAAGGCTTTTCATATCAACAGGAGCCCACCAACAACCTAAGAGAGTTTAAGAACCATTCCAAATTCCTATAGTAAACAGGCAAGAGATTAACAAATGGCAAATAGTTTTTTCACTCGCATTACAGAGGAAACAATTACAAGGAGATAAGTGTCACATGAGTCGTGCATATTTGGAGTCACAACTATTACTTGGTACTCCCTTGTTAGGAATGGATTAAATATGGAGTCGAGGAATCAACTAGGGAATCAGAAAACTGTACAAATGGGAAAGGAGGTAAACATAAGGTAATTAAAAGAGAAATAATTGCACTCCAAGGAATTAACTAAAGAATTTAGCAGACAAGTAAATCCTAAAATTAACTAAAGAGATCAATTGGACCAGTCAAAAAAAGGTGATGGCTAAAGGCTAGGTTAAACCACTGAATGATACAAGTATGGAAATTAGATCAACAAATCATGTTACATCATTAGTATGTAGGCTCAAAGATATTTCATATGATTTTGACTGTGTACAACATAAAATTGATATTGTCTTACTTTCCATGAATCAAAAAAAAATATTGTCTTACTTTCCCAGTAAACCAGAGAGCATATAACGTGTTTTAACTTGATTCAAGCTTCCATTTAACAGATTCATGACGCAAATAGTTAACAACAGGTCAGACTTATGAAGCAAATAGTCACTGAATCTGAAACAAGAAAGAAACCCATAATTCACCTGATGAAAAGGTCTAAAAGATTCCATTGGACCAAACCATGGTACATATCCTATTTTTGAAGCATTTACCATTTTCTCTGATTGTAAATAAAAATTTTACTGATAGAAAAGGGAAAAATACAAAATCAAGTGATCAGATATCACTAAGGAAATGAGATCCCAAATAGCTCCAACCATTCAACTCCAACCACATTAAGTCCTTCAAACTCCAGACCCAACAATCCAAGAAGATCTTCAGCCATGATAACTCAAAGACTCCATGGTCCAATGTCCTATACTCTACTCAGGACTAACCTATCCACCTGAAGAAGATAGGGAAGCAAGGAAAGAACCCATGGAGAATTAAATCAGTTTTCAAATTCCAATTCCTACACCAATTTCAGAATTTTTGGGTGATAGGATATTTGTTGTTTCAGGTTTTTTTTTTATTTTTTTAATTGTAAGCGTCTTAAGAACAGGGTTCTGTTTTTAAGAATTTTATTGTTATTTTGTAATTACTACTTATGGTAACTTTCAAACTCACTATTTATAGTAAACACTTGTAATTACTATTTTTTAGTAATTTCTGGTGTCTTTAAAGTAAATTGGTCTTAGTAAAACTGGTAATGATTTACAGATTGATTTAGGAATTAGAGTCCTTATTGGAGTGTCCCTTTGAGTTACCTATGCATTTGTCTTAAGCAATTAGAAATTGTTCTGGGTAAGTTTTGTAGTCCAAATTGGATTCTGTAAAGGGACATTCGAGCTCATATATTGAGTCTATGAAATAGAGTCATTGTAATTGCAATTTAAGAAGAATTGGTCTAAAGAAAAAATTGCAGTTTAGTAAGTTCTGGTTGTTCTCTTTCGGATTGCTGCTTACACCAACAGCAAGAGTTCCCCTCTCCCTAATTCTGCAAATAGCCATTAAAGCCAAGAACATACCACAAGTTCTTCTTCAGAAGAATTTAACCAACATTTCTAAAGGACTAACATTAATTCAGGTATATAAATTCTTCAGTTTACACCGAAACTTGAATTATCTCATTTTCACCATTTTAATCTTTTCTACCAAACAATTTTTTTTATTGTTCTTATATTTGGATGCCCCCAATGAATCTGTATCACCACCATTAATTGTTTATTGCTCCTCCACACATACAAGGTTTTGTCAACCCAACTTCACTTCGAGTTGGGTTAGTTTCACCTTTCAGGCAACCCAACCTGGACCCAGCTCTTCTATTGCTATTTTGCATACATATTATCATAATCCATTTGTCTTAATTTTAAGCCCTAACCTTAACCCTAATGACAAGCTGTTATTAGGGTTTCATTCCATAGTTCTATGTTTTATTTTTTGCTGATTTCATGATTTTAGATTTTCAATAGATCTATCATAATTCAAGATGAACTCCAATCATTTGAAACATTCCTTTCATTTTTCTACTAAAAGAACCAATAAAAGCATTAAACAAGCAAATGCCAATTAAAATTATGGTTATAAAATTAGAATTTAGGCATCCTATTCAAAGACTAAAAGAATTTAAGAGATTTTATGAGATTTTAAAAGGATGAGAAAAGTCAGGTTGGGTTAGGGTTAGGATTGGGGGTTCATAACCTTGGGTTGAGCTAGGGTTGACCTCAACCTGACCTAACCCAGCCAGACTTGCACCCCAGACCATAGATTTTTTAAGGTAATAAAAAAGGAAATATTATTAGAAAAAAGGAGAAACAATTACACCTAGGTTATTAGATATCACCCACAAAGAAACAAAACTTGAACCCAAACCCTTAAATCTTTTCAAATATGAAACTTTCTTTCCCAACCCTTAGAAACAGAAAAACAAGGTCCATTATAAAAACAATAAAACAAAAAACAAAAACTAAACATACACAACCAAAGCATCCCAAACCAGCATCCAATCAAACAACTTTCATCAATATGCTCTACCCCTTAAAGCTTAATTTGTTCACCGGATCTTTGTTCCAACTCCCAAAACACTTTTCTTGCAAATTCTTCCCTCCCAGAAAAGATAACCCTAAAATTTTGCTAACTTGGATTTCCACTTCCACTATTTTTTCCAAGCCAACTTTCCTCACTCTGTCACAACACACCTACTCATCAACCTCCCTTTCAACTTTCCCACTGGCTTGCCAGTTTCAATCTCTTGATGGTTTACCTCTCAGATCTTCATGCACGGTTCCAAAGGCCAAAAATGGAAAAAAAAAACATAGTCATACAGCACAAAAGGCAGAAAAAACATGCTAGGAAGCATTATATAAATAAAAACAATCTGCCAAGTATTCGAACAATTTCAGAAAATTCCCAAATTTGTGGCAAATCATCACATGAAGCACTAAGAGTTAAACATTATTGATCCTGTTCAAAAACTCCCATGCATCAACACAGATCAAAAAACACAGACTGGTATTATTATTTTTTTACTATAAAATGCTTAAAAATATTAATATCCATCCAACCCTTCAGAAAAATGCATTAAAGCAACTTTAAAATTGAACCTTACCAGGATCTAGGTTTTTTTCTGTTGTGGTGCAGGTCCATCGTGTGCTTCCCAATATCATCCATATGGGCAGTGGCATCAGTAAGGCATCTTACAGAGAGGCAGAGACTACAGGAAGGTTGTTACTAATGCTCTGATACCAATTTGACTCTATTTACTTGATGAGCCTGTAATTAAAAATGATGAGAGAAGAAGAAAAGAGAACAAACCCTACATTTGATAATAAAGAATAATAGGCAATCAGACAATTCCATTGTATTTTAAAATAAAAGTGCAATGACAATAATGCCCTCATACTTAAATTAACATGACAATTCAACTGTCACCACATTACTTGGTTTGCAATTGGCACAGACATGTCATTGCCAAGTCAGGAATCACTTCAAGAATCGCACCCTGATTCCTGGAAGCTATCCCCCAGTCACAAGAGTCACTCCTAAATATGAAAACTTAAGAGTGATTCCTGATGGATGAGTGGAAAAACTAAAAAGGCTAGAATCAGAGATGAAGTTATTCGTAGGAACTTAGAAGTAACTCCAATAGGTGATAAAATGAGAGAAAGTAGGCTAAGATAGTTTGGTTATGTGCAAAGAAGATCATAATCAGTAGGTCACCTTCCACCAAGAGAGCTAATCAGTTGGTCAAATAGCTGAAAATGTACCCAGTCAAAGAAATGATGGTAATGTAGTGCCTGCAAATGGTCAGAATCAACATCCATCTGTTGAGGAAGAAGGAAATATGGGTGTTTTGAGGAAACAAGAGAAGATTGAAGCAAAAAGATTTCTGTTTGAAGAGTTAAGATACAATGGGAGATTGGCCTTGAAGATCAGAGAAGCAAAGTTACTGGCAGTGCTGTTAGTTGGTACCAATTCCTTGAAATGGTTTGGGAGTTTTTTTAGAAGAAATGTTTTCTTCTAGTAAGAAGAAAGATCTGAAAGGATTGTTGGTGGAAGAATAAAGAAGATATACTGTGGAGACAAGAAGAAATGAAAAAGGAGGGTTCATAGTTTTACAAGAATTCTATGATTTGGGAAGGATGCAGATGGTCTGTTTTCCAGAAGGTAGGAACAGTCAAGGTTGGGAGCTGATTCACAATACAGTACAGGAGCTGTTGAACTTATGGGTTGATTGACAGCCAAGGTATTGTGAAAAGAGGTTGGGAGTGTTCGTCAATAACAAGGTTCAGGACCAGATGCAGGATAGTTTTTTGGTTGTGAAACCTAATGTAATTGCAAAAATAACAGTGAATGCTGGGAAGGAGATTTGGACAACCAAATTAGTGGTTGAAGTCTCAGAAGCTGTGTCAGATTGGAAGAAGCTAGCTGATATTTTAATCAAGGAATTGAAGATCAAAGGTATGATCATCTTTGGAAAAAGAAAAGCAGTACTTGATACAGTACAGGATAAGATTGAGATTGCAGCATTAAGCTTCCAGGCTGAGTTTGGGGCTCTTACTATATCAAATCGGTGTCCTGGTTCTGTCAAGACTGCTGGAACAGACCAACAGAAGGCAGTTAATCAGTTTTACAAGAGGAACAGAAGGCAGTTAATCAGTTTTACAAGAGGAGGCCACATCAGCACAACTAACCATCCACTTGTAACAACTGCCATCCACTTGTAACAACTGTAACAATCAAGATTGTAAAACTATAAGTAGTAGAGCAGAAAAGGAATAAGGGGATGACTCTTTCAGCATTAAACTCTCTCTCTCTCTCTCTCTCTCTCTCTCTCTCCTTCCAAGAACTCAGGAGGTTGGCCCCTCGAAGAGCCCTGAGTTAGGCAGGTTCCTAACAATTTGGTATCAGAGCCAGCATGACCAACACAAGAAACACGTTAGTAGACAACCGAATGGATCAGATAGAGGTAGAGATCCATCGAATGTCTTCTGATGGTGCGCGATCTGGTCACTCCTAGCTGGCAGAGGCTATGCTCCTAGCTGGCGCTGGACGAGGTATCTGCAAGGAAGAAGGTAAAGGATTCCCGGGGAGCTCGCCCAACGGGAACACTCCGATGCTTAAGTTAGAATTTGGCAGAAAACTGAGAGAGTTGTGAAGAAATAAATGCTAAGAGTGAAGATGCGCAATTTTCGATTACCTTTTTCCTTGGGAGTTGAAATCCTTATATATTAATGCTCTATCAAATCGGGTGTAACCGCCTATGATTCTCTGCCGCAGCCGTTATTTGCCAGAACTGAGCAGGTGGGCGCAGGTAACCGTCACAGGGTACGGCCCTGTCAGTCGAGAGACGTTTTTGGAGCTGGCAGGCACGACGCCGCCTGTTGAGAGACGTGGGCACAGTCCTCTGGATTGGCAGGTGCTGCGCCGTCAGACAAGGGACGTGGGAGCAGTCTGACAGGCACGGTCTTGTCATATAAGAAGCTTCCCGAAACCCTCAGATCGCTCAATAGCGAGCTACTTTGTAGCGAGCTGGCTGGTAGCGAGTTGCCTTGTAGCGAGCTGCTTGGTAGCGAGCTGCCCAGTGGTGAGCTGCCTTGTAGCGAGCTGCTTGTGGCGAGCTGTTAGGCTGGGTTTTAGCGAGCTCATTACGCCAAGTTGTAGCCAGGCTGTCATGCTAAGCTGTCACTTACGTTGAGTCATGTCCACGTGTCACCTAGTCAGGAGGTCGAGTCAAATCACCCTCCATCAATTGCCCCCCACTCCTCGGGCTAAGGGTCTTGCTCTAGCGCGGGGAGTTTACGAAGCGGCGGGTGGATTTGACCCGTAATTCAAACTACCTTGACTGACCGTGTGAGGTATATGCACGGATGTCACGCGACTTACAGATTTTGCGGGCGCCAAAAAACGCGCTAAACTGCCTTCAGTCTTGGAGGATGTGCAGCCGGTTTTATTATGAGTCGTTAGATTCGCCTTAATCGAGACCGTTGGTTTTCTTGCATAGTGGCTATAAATAGGAGGGCCCCAGGCCTCATTTGCTTTTACGCCAACTTGCCTTGCTTTCGATTCTAAGGTCGTGCCTTCACCTTGATTGCTCGAGCTCTCCCCGTCACTTCTTTCAGTTTACTCTTTCTAGTGAGTCCTCTGCCTTGCCAAACAATGTCTGGGTATCCGTACGACGGTGTCTTTTCCCGAGATGGTAATCAAGACGAGGCCCCCTCGAGCTCGAGGGGCAGGCTCCGAAGGTTCCGAAAGCCTCTGGTAACTTGGCTTCCACTTCCCGGAGTCGGGAGCCATATAGCTTTGGCCCTTCCTCCATGTCAATGGAGAGACTTCGAGCCTTGGTCTTCCAGTACAATCTCCCCAGGGAGCTCACTTATAGCCTCCCAACCGGCAACTATCCCTGGGAGCACGATCATGACGAGATCGTGATCTTTGAGGGGCAGCTTGTGGCTGGTCTTCGACTCCCTCTGCATCCTTTAATAGTGGAGGTCCTCACACACTTCAACGTCACCATAGACCAATTGCACCCGAACTCCATTCGGAACTTGGTGGGGGCTATTTCTTTGTTTTTTGAGTACCGTCTTCCTCTATCCCTCGACATTTTTGCTTCCATTCTGTCAATCAAGAATGCCTCCCCCGAAGCCCCTCCAGATAGGCACTCTTATTACTTTCCCCCCGTCCTGACTTCAAGCTTCTGCACGAGTTGCCTAACAGGATCCTGGCCTGGAAGCGAAGTTATTTTATAGTTCGCAACCCCGAGGGGTGGCCCTTTCCGACTCACTGGAGGGCCGCCATTCAGGATCCGGGCGTTAGCTTGGACCTGAAGGTTCGGGAAACGCTGCAGTCCTGGGCAGAGGTCGTCTTCCTCTGTTCGGATTACTTGGCTGAGGACAAGCTCGTGCAGGCCGGTCTGAGCCCCGGTAGGTCACCTTTAGGTCATTCTCCCTTTTTTTTTGTTGGGCTAATGCCTTGTATTTCTTGCAGCCAAAATGTCAGGTGTGGATGCGCATCGTCTCTTATCGAGCTCCCAGAGGCGCAGGGCAAAGAGTTCCCGCCTGGACCGGGTGTCTACTTCTAGAGCCGTCGAGTTCGAAGTCGCGGACCCGTCTTTTGTTCCGCCGCCGGAGGTTCCACCCACGTCATACGAGGGGGTAGCCGCGGAAGGCGGCGAAGAAGAGATCCCACCTCCAGGGCAGTATCCTCTAGCTGATCGTCCAACCCCTCCGCCTTCCCGGCATTCCCTACCGAGGGGCGGGATGAGAGCATCACCAACTTCCTGTTGGCCTCGTGGAAGAGCCGGGAGTCGATCTTCCACGAGGAGATTGCGGCATGGTCCGGGATTCACCCTAGGCGGCTCTTAGGGCTGGCCTCGTCCCACTGTATGGTGGTAAGTGCCTGCTTTTTCCCCTTCTCTTTTTTTTTTTACTTACCCCTATTTTCCATTGGCAGATGAACTCCACCCTCCACGCCATGGCCTGTCAGACAGCCGTTCACTCCGGGGACGCCCACCATCAGAGGACAGAGGTGCGGAAGCTCCAACGCGAGCTCGACTGAGCCCGGGGTGAGGTCCTCCAGGCTCAAAAGGGGAGAGAGGCCCAGGAGCTGCTTGTCCAGGACCAGGAAGCGCGGATCTCCCGATTGACCGAGGAGAGCGCCCGTTATAGGGAGGAGTCCTCGAGGGTGGTCGAGGAAAGGGAGCAGCTTCGTCAGCAGGTTCAAAGTTTGGAGGCCACACTTCATGAACGGACTCGAACCTTCAATGCTGCTGTGGAGGAAGAGCGGGTCAAGGCGATGGACCACTTCAAAGAGTCCCCAGAGTTCCAGGACCTCCAAGTCGACTATGGCACGAAGTTCTACCACTCAAGATTCAAGCTTCGTCGGTACCTGGTTCGGAAAAAGTTCTCCGGTCTTAGTCTTGACGGCATTACAATGAAGGACCTGGCCCCAGAGACGGCGAACGCAGCGGAGGAGGAGGAGCTTAACTCCATGGAGGAGACTGACGAGGATGTGGAGGCGGTGGACCCTTGAGGCTAGGGTTGTTCTCTTTTCTTCTGGACTTTGGAGTGCATATTCTCGGGTGGTTGAGCCCGGTTTTCTCTTATTTTTTCTTTCTCTCTTGAAGTACTCTCACAGGCCATTAGGCCTGGTTTTTTTTATAAGAACCTTGGTATGAAATGTTTGTTTTTGCTTAGAATGGCTCCTTTTTTTATCTAAGTCACGTAGATAGGTTACCCGAGCTGCCAAGCTGGTAACAAGCAAGGGTGACTGAA